TCAACTTCAGGGGATGAAAGAAGTCTGCTGCAAGAAAAACCTATAAAGCATTCTCAAATAAAGCAAGCCTCATCTAGAGAAAGGAGGTGGTTGGGGTAAGCAGTCTTTAAAGTTACCTTCCCACTTTTCAGGCATCTTGTCTGCAAGTCAGTTCTTCAAGAATTGTATGAAGTACCTACCGTATGCCAAGCACTGTATCAGGTGCTGGAGATACGGGGGGAAAGCCAAAGCTTATAAAAGTTCTGCCCTAGCGGAGATGCAGATGGAGGCGGTTATTAAACAAGATACACACCCTCTGCTGAAATCAGTTTGGTTTCTGTAAGAAGGGAGATGGAAAGCTGTTGGAAGGCTCTCAATCTATAATAATAAAAGGGTAATATGCTAATTAGGCCCCGGGCTGGAGGGAAGCGGGTGCCGGCAGCCGGGGAAAGGAAGGCCTACTCTTGCACGAATTTTCATGCATTGGGCGGGCCTCTAGTAGAATAATGTGACTTGCCTTCCATGCCAATAGGATCCCACTGGCTGCTGTGTGGAGAAGAGGCTGAAGGTGGGAAGGTCAGAAGCAGGGCATTCGGTTAGGAGTTTTGTGATAATATAACCACAACAGGATGGCACTTGTGTGGTCACAGTGGTCACAGGAGACAACTAGGACGAGGAAAGAGAGGGCAGAATGTGGGAGGAGCAGTTTTGGTAGAAAGAGCACGAGTCAGTGGGAGTTTTCCATGCCTAGTGGGACCTGGAGTTGTCAGTTGGATACATCAGCCGGGAGTTCAGGGTAAAGGTCAGAGTTAGGGATGCAAATCTGGGCGGTATCAACGAATCTAGTGCTGGTATCTAAAGCCCTGGGCTTGGATGAGAAGGCCAAGGCCATGAGGGAGTGAGTGTGTGCAGATAGATTGGAGTCCCAGCCCTGGGCCCCGGGGCACATCAGCACTGAAGAGGGTCCAGAGAAGAGGAGGAACAGCTACAAAGTACTGTGAGTACCTGGACTTTCCTTCCCAAACTGGGCCATTTTTAAGAATATATATTTTGAGTGATTTCATGGAGGAAGGGAAAGGGAGAGAGAGATAGAAACATCAATGATGAGAGAGATTCATTGATTTGCTGACTCTTGCACTCCCCCCACCAGGGATTGAGCCTGCAACACAGGCATGTGCCCTGATCAGGAATTGAACCATTAAACTGTGACCTCTGGTTCAAGGTCAGCTCTCAACCACTAAGCTACACCAGCTGGGCCAAACTGGGTCATTATTGATGCATTGTTCCTTATCAGATAGTACTTTATCCTCTAAAGAGGTAAACCGTATTAAGGAACTAATTATTCTTGCCTATGTCCAATGTCCTTGGGTAATAATAATTGCTACCCTTCATCACACTATATGCCTGGCATTGTGCTAGCATTTCGTTATCTCATCTTATCTTCACAGTAGCCGGACCAGCGTGGCTCAGAGGTTGAGCGTCCACTTACGAACCAGGAGGTCATGGTTCGATTCCTGATCAGGGCATGTGCCAGGGTTGCAGGCTCAATCCCCAGTAGGGGGCGTGCAGGAGGCAGCCGATCAATGATTCTCTCTCATCATTGATGTTTCTGTCCCTCTCTCCCTCTCCCTTCCTCTCTGAAATCAATAAAAATATATTTTAACAAATAAATAATCTTCACAATAACCTTATGATAGACCCTTTTCCAGTTAAGGAAACCAAAGCCCAGAAAGACGAAGTCATTTGCCTACAGCAGGAAAGTAGAGGGTGTGGGGATAAACCCAGGTCTGTGCTCTTCCAAGGCTCATGCTACTGAGTACTTTGCCCTTTTCATTAAGGAAATTATTGAGGGTTTTCAGAGGAAGCATCTGGAATTTTTTTTAATTACATGGGCCCATAGTATCTGTAAGGTTGTATTTACTGCCTAAGATCAAGAAGTATGAGCAATTTGAAAGGGCTGATTCAAAGCAGTGTCCTACTTGGAATGGGGAGTACAGGGTCCAGCAGATAGGGGGGCTCTCTTTCAGCCCCTACATCTTTCTCAGAGAGAAAGACATCATTGTCTCAGTCTCCTTCGGGGTCATGGCTCAAATATTAAAATGAGAGACCGTAAGCAGGAGAGAGAGATGAGGGAAGACCACAGTGAGGTTTCCCAGCAGAGCAAGGAATTCAGCTGCCTGCCGGGAGCTGCGAAGCAATGAAGGCAGGAAGGACCCTGTGCGGAAGGTCCAGGGAAGGACGGGCTGTCACTATTAGCTCCGAATACTCCACCTTAGCTGTCTTGCGTGTGTGTGAGAGGAAAACTGCTGAAGACACTAAAAGACTCATGAAAGGGTCTGCCCCTGTCACATAAGCAAGAGAGCGACAGGGCTGGGGACAGACTGCAGTCAGGGCACTTCATCACAGCCGCAACCTCGGGTTCCGAACCGTCCATGCAAGCGATGAAAGAAAAGAAACATGGGGAAGAACAAGAGGTTTGTGGAGATGACATGCTGGCTCCGTGAAAACCCTGGGCCTACACACCAGCGAGCGAAGGTTTCGAGGAACCCCAAACCTGGAGGGCCACAGAAGGCACAGGGGAGCCTGCAGGGTAGTTGGCGGCAAAGCCCAAAGTTTGCAGCAGCACCATACAAGGCAGCACAGCCATCATGGGATTGAAATATATATTTTTGTTCCAAAAGACCAGGATTTGTTTCTTTTATATTTTAAAATATATTTTATTGATTTTTTACAGAGAGGAAGGGAGAGGCATAGAGAGTTAGAAACACCGATGAGAGAGAAACATTGATCAGCCGCCTCCTGCACACCTCCTACTTGGGGATGTGCCCGCAGTCAAGGTACATGCCCTTGACAGGAATCGAACCTGGGACCCTTCAGTCTGCAGGCCGACGCTCTATCCAGTGAGCCAAACCAGTTAGGGCAAAATATATTTTTATTGATTTCAGAGAGGAAGGGAGAGGGAGAGAGAGATAGAAACATCAATGATGAAAGAGAATCATTGATCGGCTGCTTCCTGCATGCCCCCCACTGGGGTTCCAGCCTGATACCTAGGCATGTGCCCAGACCGGGAATCAAACCGGGACCTCCTGGCTCATAGTCGATGCTCAACCACTGAGCCACACCAGTTGGGTCAGGATTTATTACTTGGTAATCCTATCAGCAAACAAGTAAAGGAAGGGGTTGTCCCAATATTTAAATATAATTCAATAAGTGGGTTAAATGAAGTTTTTTTTTATTATTGATTGGTTTTTAGAGACAGAAACATTGATTTGTTGCTCCACTTATTTATGCACTCTGGTTGATTCATTTTTTTTAATTGTTTAAAGTATTACATACGTCTCCTATACTCTGGTTTCTCTTCAGATCGTATAAATCTTTCGCTTTTTACATATGTCTCCTTTTTCCCGGATTAACCCCCCGCTCCAGCCACTCCCGCTGCCCAGGACAAGCCCCCACCGCCCCAGTGTCCATGTCCTTTGGTTGATCTCTTGAGTTATGTGCAAGGGTCTAAGAGCCCTGTGCAAAGCCATCTCTGGTGAAAAGCCACAGCTTCGTCATCACCATGTGATCACAGGCCAGTGTGTGGAGGGAGGTTGCCGAGTGGCAGCCCTCTGGGACCACAGGAGGAGCGCAGGGCAGAGCACTGCATTGGGACCTTGAACAGCGAGCGGAATCGAAGAAGTGATTTCAGAATCTCCCTGCACCCAGAACTGGGCTACCAGGCTGTAAAGTGATTTAATTGCTTCGGAGAACACATGAGCAGTATTGTTGTCAACCCTTAATTTTACATCTTTCAACTGTTCTCCAAAAATAAAATTGTTTGGGGAAGCTTAACGTCTTCCTGTTTTTATTGCTTTGCATCTAGGAAAGTACAAATTCTGTAGCAGTTCCTGGCCCCGGCAAATCACCTGGGAAGCTTTTAAAAAGATACTCTCCCAGGAGACCTATCCCAATCCAATTAGATCAAATTCTCTAGGGGTGGGGTCCAGGCATTAGTGTTTTGTTTTTTAATTATTATTTATTGACTTGAGAGAGAGGAACATCGGTTCGTTGTTCTGCTTGTGTATGCATTCATTGTTTGATTCCTGTATGCGCCCTGACCGGGGGCTGAACCGGCAACCTGCCCGGAGAGGGTAGAGAGGAAATCCGGAGATGCTCTGCCCAACGAGCCCCTACGGGGTCTGGCGTTCGTGTTTTGTTTCTGTTTTAAGCTCCCCAGGTCACCCTTTGTGCAGGCAGATTTGAGAATTACTGTTTTAGAGCCTCATAGTATAGTATTAAAACGTGGCTGAAAGGATGTTTTTCTTAGCAACAACTGATGTGCTTACATCCTTTACAACCCGCCAAAGACATTTATAACGCTCTCCACGCTCCAGGTCCTCCCACAGGCAGAGAAGAGACCAAGGCCAACGTGTCTTTCTCTCCCTGGACAAACGCCTCTAGCTGCGTAGGGTGGAGGCCGGGGGGTCTGGGTCTCTGGTCCCCTCGGGACTGGGACTCGGAGGAAGCGGGAGGCCGGGGGGTCTGGGTCTCTGGTCCACTCGGGACTGGGACACGGAGGAAGCGGGGGGCCGGGGGGTCTGGGTCTCTGGTCCCCTCGGGACTGGGACTCGGAGGAAGCGGGAGGCCGGGGGGTCTGGGTCTCTGGTCC